AGAAGGTGCTATTTAAGAGACTGAGCTGAATACAGCACCTCAGACTGAGGAAGTCTCTCGGATGAGAGACGAAACGTTTCTACATTTTTGTGTTGTTTTGCTTTTTTATTTTTTATTTTGAATATCCAGAGGACCATGTTTAACTTTTTTAGATTTTCTACCTGGATTATTGAACATGCATCAGGATATTCCGTTTTTTCTAATGTAATTCCATTTTTTCCAATGTGATTCAGTTTTTTCAAATATGATTCTGTTTTTTCTAATGATATTCAATTTTTTTAAATGTGATTCTATTTTTCTCAAATGTGATTCCGTTCTTTCTAATGTGATTCTGTTTTTCAAATGTAATTCCATTTTTTAAAACGTGATTTTGTTTTTTTTTCCAAATGTAATTCCGGCCACTTCCGCTTTGGCCACGTCCATTTTGGCTTAATGTATTTCAATTTTTTCAAATGTAATTCTTTTTTTTCAGATGCTGTTCATTTCTACCTCAGGGCCACCATAGTGGGGGGTGTTTTCATGACCCATCGGTAAAATATCTTAGTACTGAATAAATGGAGTGAAATGAGCAGCGCATGTTGTATTATTTAAATATGCTGAATAATTTGAACAAGCATCTATGTAATTGCAGGAATGTTCTTTGGCATCTATCAGGGGAGCGCTGCGGCACTCCCCGCACCCCTACACCCCACAGCCTTTGCACGCACACAAACAAACGAGCATGAAAAGCAGCTAAGTCAGTGCTAAATGTTTCCCTATCAGAGTTTGGGAGAAGATGACACAAACGATCCAAGCACGACACGTTGAGCCTTCTGAGAGCTGCACACTCACCCTGGAGCACTCTGTCCAGACTGTACAAGGCCTCGTTCACATCTGAGGACTGATTCCTGGTTCTGGACCCCTGAGACAGGCCGTAGCCAAACTGGCTTTGAGCGCTGGAGTAGCTGAAGCCACCGGATGGTGCTTTAAGCAGAGGGGCAGAGAGGAAGACAGGGCAAAACAAGGATGGGGAGGTAGGAAAGGAGTGACGTGAACAACATAAAATAAATATAAAGAAGGATGAGGGGTGGGGGCGGGACACAGGGTGATAGTCAGCATAGCTCCTGCAGAGTCCGTGTGGACAAGCCTGCTGTGCAGCCAACAGCCCCAACCTTGCTGCCATCAGTTTCATGCACTTGCACAATTTACTTGCAGCGGCGTCATAAACGTTGCATTCCAACTAAAATCTGTCTTTACCTGACATAAAGACAGATTTACGTAGAACTAAAAGCTCAACCAGTCAGTGACATAAACCCAGAGGGAAACTCACTCAGATCTGGGAAGTTGCTCGACACGTCTCCCATCACAATCGAGTCCCGGATGTGTTCGTCCATGTAACTTCTGTTCTCCGAACGCTTTCTCATGATGACTTCGGATGCGTGCATGCCCCCCTCCATCAGCTCCTGTCTGCGAGAGCCTCCTACAGAGACACGAGGTACGGAGGTTGATACGTTTTGTTAAAGGTCTTCACAGCACGGCTCAGGGCAGCCATTTTACCTGCTCCGGAGATGTAGGTGGTGTGAGTCTCTGTGGTGAAGGAGCCTCCTGCTCCTCTGTAGTTGGACCCCAGAGTGGACATCGGCGAGGAAGACGAAGACATGTTGCGTGTTGAAGACCCTCCAGGGAAGAGGAAGTTCCCATTCATCATGTAGTCTGTGAGAGCCATAACGAGAAGCTAATTAGCATGGTTAGCGTTTGATTATTTTGTGAATGCTAATTAAGCACTCGCTTTTTTATTTCAGTGTAACTGCTTCTGCACAATTTGTTATTTTAGCAATTCACATATAAAACATTCAGCTCATCTAGGAGATGAGTGCCATGACTTTAGGCTCATGCAACTTTTATACGTTATAACGTATAACTTTACAAATATTTATTGATAGACAAAGGAATCTTCAGTTCTTTCAAAAAATGCTATTTTTAGTTTGTAGCTTGGCAGCATGGTGGCGCAACTGGATGGATGGATAGTTTGTAGCTATCATTTAGCTACTTTTAGCTTCTAACTAGCCTTTTGCTGCTACTTTTAGCTTCTAGCTAGTTTTTTTTAATGCTTTTAGGTAGTGTTTTGCAACATTTTGCTTTTTTTAGCAAGGCTGTTGGTACATTTAGCCTTTAACGTTTAACTACTTTTAGTTTTAAGTTGTTACTTTTAGCCAGCCTTTTGCTACTTTTGGTTTCTAACTAAGCTTTTGCTGCTTTTGACAAGGGGTTTTGCTATATTTATCTTTTTAGCGAGTCTATTGCTATATCTAGCCCTTAGCCTTTTGCTACTTTTAGTTTTTAAGCTGTCAATTTCCTATTTTTAGCAAGGCTTTTGCTACTTTTAGGTTTTAGCTAGCCTTTTGCTGCTTTTAACCAATGCTCTGCTACATTTAGCCATTAGCCTTATAATACTTTTAGTTTTTTGGCTAGCATTCTGCTAATTTTAGATGTGAGCAACCTGCAAGATGTGGAGTTTTTTTGTTCAGCAAATATTTTATTTTATTTGAATAAATTTGGGGCAGCACGGTGGCGCAACCGGCAGAGTCGCTGCCTCTCAGCGAGCAGGTCCCTGGCTCAAACCCCGGTCCAGGGACCCTCTGGGTGGAGTTTGCATGTTCTCTCCGTGCATGCGTGGGTTTTCTCCGGGTGCTCCGGTTTCCTCCCACAGACCAAAAACATGCATGTTAGGCTGATTGGTAACTCTAAATTGTCCCAAGGTGTGAGTGAGAGAGTGAATGGTTGTTTGTCTCATTTGTCTCTATGTGGCCCTGTGATGGACTTGCGACCCGTCCAGGGTGTCCCCCGCCCCTCGCACAGTGATTGCTGGACATGGGCACCAGCGACCCCCGTGACCCAAAATGGAATAAGCGGGTAAAGATAATGGATGAATGGATGAATAAATTTGTTTTACCTTCCAATGAGCAGTCTTGTAAATTAACAAGAAACAAAAGAAAATGGTCTGTTTATGTAATATTCCTTTTGGCCACAGGGGGGGTAATAAAACACCAACTCAGGGATGGGAAACATTTTCTTCCAAAAGGCCTTTTTGGGACACAAATAAACTACAAAATGATCTGACGCTGATGATACTTTCTTTAGACAACCCTCAGAAGTTTTTTTTTAATTTTTTTATCATTCATGCTTTGTCTGTATTTTTAGCACAACGTCGCTCTTTTAAAGCTTGGGAACAACAACAATAATAAAAAAATAACAACAACAACACACAAAAAAAACGGTTTAGGTCTATTCAGAACAGAAAAGCTGCTTCCACATTGCCTCTCCAGTGGGATGAAGAGAGAAAAGACAGAGGCAGGCGCCCGGAAACACCTGCCACCGATCATCAACCGGGTGTGGGTTTGTTGATGCCGGCGCTTCGTTTAAGTGTCAAGAGAAGAAATGAGAGAAATGCCAACAAGATCCAAGAGGACGGGGACCGAAGCCTGAATTTGGGAGCAGGATTGGCCTAACAGCCAGCATGCGAGCTGCCTAGTTCTAATCAGCCAACTTGTTGGAGCAGTCTTCACCTGGCAGGGGTGTTTTGGTGTAGCTGGGGCAGGGGCTCTCGTCTGTGCTCGCCTCGGTGTCTGTGCTGAGTCGACTGGGGATGACTTCCACTCGCTTTTTCCACGACACCGTACGGAGATCCAGGTTTGAGCCCACCAACTGAACATGATTCCAGCCTTGGTTGGGTGGTCATAGGAGAGAGGCAAGCAGGCAAAGAACAGAAACGGTTTTACCGTACAACCCCAGTTCCAGAAAAGTTGGGAAGTCGTGTAAAACAAGAACAGAACGCGATGATTTTCAAACCTCATAAAGCCATATTTTATTCACAATACCATACCATACCATTTTATTTATAGAGCACTTAAAACAGCGACAAGGCCAACCAAAGTGCTGTACAGACAGAAAAACAGGCAACACACAAAGCAATATACAAAATGAGGTAAATCAGAATATAGACATAAAAACGTTGCAGATAATAAATATGACGACTAACCAGTGTGGAGCGTACAGGTTCAAAACACAGATCCTCTGGTGTTGAAAGCTACTGAATAGTAGTGAGTTTTTAAACGGGATTTGAAAACCGAGAGGGAGGGGGCTTGTCTGACAAGCAGAGGTAACTCGTTCAAAAGTCTTGGTCCTGCTACAGAGAAGGCCCTGTCACCTCTGCACTTAAGACGAGTTCCTGGAACTGTGAGGAGCAACTGGTCCGCTGACCTCAGGGAGCGTGGTGGGACATACGGCTGTAGCAAATCAGAGAGATGGGGGGAGGGGCAAAACTGTTCAGCGATTTGTAGACATACAAAAGTATTTTGAACTGGATTCGAAAGTGAACCGGTAGCCAGTGCAGGGAGGCCAAGACTGGTGTAATGTGCTTTTGCCTGTACTGGTTAAAAATCGGGCTGTTGCATTCTGGACCAGTTGCAGTCGTGCAATGGAGGTCTGACTGATACCAAACAGGAGCGAATTGCAGTAATCAAGCCTAGATGTAATGAATGCATGTATTACTGTCTCCAGGTTATTTTTAGACAATATAGGCTTCAGTTTAGACAGCCGCCTCAGTTGGAAGAAACATGATTTAACAATCATGTTTACATGATTGTTAAGTTTCAGGGAAGGGTCCATTATCATGCCCAGATTAGTGACTCTGTTTTTCTGACAGGGTTAGAGTGGAGAGGTCGATACAGTGGTTTGTGATCGTGTCATTGGGAGGGAACAACATGACTTCAGAATTCTTTTCATTGAAACTTAAGAAGTTTAAAGCCATCCAGTCCCTGATGTCAGCTAGGCAGTCGAGCAGAGGTTGAATAGAGCATGTACCATTGTGTCTTAGGGGGAAGTAAATTTGACAGTCATTGGCGTACAAGTGAAAGGGTATGTTGTGTTTCCGGAAAATAGCACCAAGCGGCAGAAGGTATAAAGAGAATAGGAGGGGACCCAGGATGGACCCCTGCAGAACCCCCCATTTAAGCTTTGCTGCTGCAGAACTAAAATCCTTGATGGAGACACAAAAGGATTCATCAGCGAGGTAGGATCTGAACCAATTGAGGGCTGACCCTGTGATGCCCACCCACTGCTCCAACCTAGCAATGAGGATCTCATGGTCGATGGTGTCAAAGGCGGCTGTGAGGTCCAACAGGACAAGCAGCACAGAATCACTGGTATCTGTGGATATGAAGATGTCATTAAAGACCTTCAGCAGGGTAGTTTCAGTGCTATGGAGAGGTTTTAAGCCAGATTAGAATAGCTCTAAGATGGCGTGACCCTCCAGGAAGCACTTCAACTGGAACTCAACTATTTTCTCCAGTACTTTAGAAACAAATGGGAGTTTGGAGACAGGCCGGAAGTTGGATACGACTGAGGGGTCAAGATTTGTTTTTTTCAGGAGAGGCTGGACAGCAGCATGTTTAAAGGTTTTTGGCACCACGCCAGTGGATAAACTGCTATTTACAATAGCAAGAATGGATGGACCTAGAGTTGGAAAAACCTCCTTTAGTAGTCGAGGGGGGACCACATCAAAGGGGGAGCCAGAAGGTTTCAAGCTGCACATGACCTGCTCTAGAGAAGATAGAGTGATGGGTTCAAAATGGTAAAAAGGAGCTACAGATTGAGGTGGGATGGATGGGACATGAGTTGGAGGGGAAATGAGAGCCCGGGTGGTCGCAATTTTTTCCAAAAAGAAATGTAAGAAGTTGTTGCACAGCTCAGTCGAGGCTTCCAGAGGTGATGGTTCAGTGAAGTGAAGAACAGAGTTTAGGGTAGAGAAGAGAACACGTGGGTTGTGAGAGTTTGAGGTAATTATATCAGAGAAGTATTTGGATTTAGCAGCTTTTACTGCTTTCTGATAATGGTGCCAACTCTCTTTAAGTATTTGAAAAGAGACCTGCAGCCTGTCTTTCCTCCACTTGCGCTCCACCCTCCTACATTGCTGCCTAACGGCCTTGGTGACGTCACTCAGCCAAGGTTCTGCTCCGAGTTTTGATTTTCTAGTTTTAACAGGTGTCTTTAAGCAGACAGAGTTGAACTGGGATGTCAACTCCTCAGTGGTGGAGAGAAACACTGGGGACTGAGTTATCATTTCAGAGTTATAAACATCTGTGAAACGTGCGGCAGTGAAATGGTTAATGGTCCGTCTGCGACGTGCAGGAATCCACGACTTAGGAGTTAGATGGGGGAGGGTGAACTCAAACTAGACTGGCATGTGGTCTGAAAAAACATTATCACCATTTTCAAGATTATTAACAGTCACATCATGAATTAAAACAAGGTCCAGTGTTTGTCCGCGCTCTTGGGTGGGACCGTTTACATGCTGAGTTAGATTAAATGAGTCCAATAAACCTAAAAGTCCTTAACCAAGGGCTTCTCAGGACAGCACACATGCAAATTAAAGTCCCCAATAATGAAAACATGCTCATATTTTGGTGTGATTTCAGCCAAGAAATCAGAATATTAATTTATGAAATCCTTAGATCCAGGTAGGCGGTAGACGAGTGCGCATAAAGTCGAAGTCGAATGTCTGAGTTCAAAGACGCTCAGCTCAAAGCTGGCGCAGGAAACTGGGATGGGCAGTTGTTTACAGTCAAAAGTTGATTTGAATATTGTTAATAATCCACCACCGCGCCGGCCTGATGGCTGCGGGGCGTTAAAACACAGACAGTTCAGTGGCAATAATTCCGTCAAGACGCTGAATGCATCAAAGTGAACTAACCAAATGTTTAAACTAAGAAAATGTTGGTAATAAACAACTAGAGGAAGCTTTTGCAACTCCATCCATCCATCCATTATCTTTACCCGCTTATTCCATTTTGGGTCACGGGGGTCGCCGGTGCCCATGTCCAGCAATCACTGTGCGAGGGGTGGGGTACACCCTGGACGGGTCGCAAGTCCATCACAGGGCCACATAGAGACAAACTACACAAACAACCATTCACTCTCTCACTCACACCTAGGGACAATTTAGAGTTACCAATCAGCCTAACATGCATGTTTTTGGTCTGTGGGAGGAAACCGGAGTACCCGGAGAAAACCCACGCATGCACGGAGAGAACATGCAAATTCCACCCAGAAAGGCCCCTGGACCGGGGTTTAAACCAAGGACCTGCTCGCTGAGAGGCAGCAGCTCTACCAGTTGCGCCACCGTGCTGCCCCCTTTTGCAACTACTTGGGTTAATTGGCATCAGATCAGTTTGAAGATTTGGACTAAAAAGATAATTTTAGAGTGGCTGAACCTTTCAGAAGTAAAGATGGGCAGAGGTTCACCAGTCTCCTAAAAACTATCTAAAAACAGTTAAACTATTTCAGAATAATGTTTCTCAACAAAAGCAAAAGGAAACATTTCAGTATTTGATCTACTGTTAATGTCGTCAAAACACATCAAGAATCTGGAGAAATCTCAAAGAATGAGGGTGAAAGTCAATATTTGATTTACATCATCTTCAGGCCCTCAGGGGCCACTGCTTTAAAAACAGGACTGAGTCTGTCCTGGACTTCACTGCGTGGACCCAGACACACCTCCGCAAATCACCTTCTGTAAACACAGTTTGACGTGCCATGCTTGTTAAAGCTCTATCAGGCAAAGAAGAAGTGAAATGTGAACACCAACCAGAAACACTTCTGTCAGCTTAAAACCAACACAAAGTGGAGAAGTGTTCGGTGGTTACACCTCTTCCTCATTAACGAGAGGAGGGACCATCCAGCATGTTCTCAGTGCACAGTTAACAGCCTGCCTCTCTGATGGTGTAGGGTTGCATTAGTGCCTCAGGCATGGGCCGCTTACACATTTAAAAAGGCACCATCAAAGCAGAAAAGTACGTACAGGTTTTAGAATAATGGTGTCTTTTTCAGAGAAGACAATGCTAAACCACAAACTGCATCTGTTACAGCAGCGTGGCTTCACCGTCGAAGAGTCCTGCTGCTGGACGGGCCAGCCTGCAGGTCAACAAAACATCTGGTGCAAGATTAAATAAGAATCTAGCAAAGAAGACTCACAACTGTTGAGCAATTAGAGTCCAGCAACAGACAGGAATGGGACAACATTCCTATCAGCTGGTCTCTTCAGGTTCTAAATGTTGACTGAGTGTTGTTTAAAGAGGGGGCGCTTCAGGGAAACTTGGACCTGCCCCAACTTTCAAAACTACTTTATTTCTTATGTTATCCCCCCCACCAAAAAACACACACAAAAAAAAAACAAAAAAAAAAACAAGTGGTATATTTCTTAGATTAAACATTTGATATGTTTGTTGTGAATAAAATATGGTTTTATGAAATTTGCAGAGTATGGCATTCTGTTGTTTTTTTCTTTAAGTCCCAAATTTGTTGGAATTGTGGTTGTAGTTGAGATAAATTAATTCCAACTATGGAGACATAAACCTAGTTTAGCTGCAAGCAGCAGGAGTGGCAGGAGATTTGGACCTGCGGTCGGTGACTGCACGGCACATCTGCACATACAACATCTGCAGATGCACTGGAGGCAGATTTTTATCTCTGACTGGTTTGGGTGTTGCCTGAAGAGAAAATGCCTGCCATATGGAGGTGATAAAACAACAACCACGAGCAGAAAAGTTTCCATATCTTAGACTCGCCGTTTTACCAAACATTGTTTTTTACTTTCATCAAACCTGGATGGACATTTTCACCAAATTAACCAGAAAGAAAGTGATGAGAAAATTGAAGGATCTCTTTAATATGAAGCTTTTCAGAAACTGATATTGTAACTACAGCAAACATTTGACCATGAACTCCTGGTACTGTCCACAGCCGTCCTTATGAAAGGACAATGACACCACACAGAGGTTACAAGATGAAAGACATTTATGCTGAGCACTGATTGCCAACTGAGATAACTGGATCCACAATACAATGACAGCTCACTTGTTACATTCGCAGCCTGAAATTTGTATACACCCATCGTTGGCATCAGTGCCATAAATTTATGGCTTTTAATTATTTATTTGAACCATCCTTTTCAGGGAAGGGCAGAATTTTTACACAACATTCAACTTTAAAGGTGTTTAAAATCAAGAAGAGGGTGCACAGTTTAAATTTTTGTGGATCTTCTCTAGTCCACACAGGGTCAAAATCATGCATACAAACACAAGCACAAGTATATTAACTTTATTATTAATGACTTTGATAAGTGATGCTGGAGGGTCTAGTTAACTTGACAAGATCAAGGTCTATTAACTTTGTTCTTGATCACTGCCAGCATAAAATATACAATGGTCCCTCGTTACATCACGCTTCATTTATCACGGTTTTTCAAAATAAGATTGGACATAACACACTATCGGCTGATTGATGGATGAGCCATATGCTCGGCATAGAATTTTTATTTAAAATAAATTATTTAGCACCTGTGTGCAGCTCGCAGCTTGCAGATGACAAAGTGCTGCAGGAGGCAGAGAGCTGAAATCATGACATGCTGTGCTCTTTTAGAGCATTTAGAGTTTAGAAACATTGTTTAGAATATTGCAAGAGTGTGGAAGGGGTTTAAAATGCCTTAATATATAAATTCTAAAATAAACTACTACTTACTACTATTACTTGGACTACTGTATCCCTACTTCAGTTTTTCCCTTATCACAGGGCGGCGTGGTCCCTAACACCTGGGAGAAGACTCAAACTGTCACTTTCAGGAAATCATTTACGGACTCTGCCTTGAAACCAACACATTCCTTGCAGAGTGGTCAATTATCCAGACAGGTTTATATCAGAAGCTTGTTAATGGATACAAAAAAGTGTGTGGTTGGAGTGCAACTTGCTAAGAGAACGTAAACCCAATTTTAACCAAAGTGCACAAGATCAGCCTTTAAAGGGGACTTTGGTTTTGGTTCTGAGTACTCACCGTCTCCCGAGACACTTGGCGTTTTGGAACTTGTTGGTGATTTAAGCACATCATTGCTGTACATCAGGTAGCTGTCATACTCATCTCCTGCCTCTGCATCCACAATAGGAACATCTGGAATGATGGGAACTGGAGACAGAAAGAGAACAAAAACAAATGTATTTTATTGGAAAGAAAGACGAAACAACAACAGAGGTTTGTTCAGCGCACTTACTAGACATAGGTCTGGTAGGTTGCGATGCTAAATTAATGGTAGCATCTCTGAAGGGACCCCAGCCCACGCTGTTTTTGGCACGGACTTTGTACTGGTAAGTTTGGGCACTCTGAAGGTTTTCGATCAACAGCATCCGTTTCTTAGGATTGTCGATCTTCACTGTCTTAGCTGCTCCCACAGGCTCTGTTTGAGGAGGAGAACATTAGAACGTTAAGGGATTAAATAACACAAGGACAAGCAGAGTTGCACCATTTCAAGGTGAATTTCTTACTCTTTTCATCGTCAATTGGTGTGTAGATGACCTCATACGCAGTAATGTTGCCATTGGTTTCTGCAGGCTCCGCCCAGCTGACCTGAGTGACAGTTGGACTGATGACGTTGAAGGCCAAGCGACCAGGTTCACCAGGCACTGGAGCAGAGCAGGAGATGTTTGTGAGTTTGAACCAAGTCTTTTAACAGATATACAACTGTTAACATGTAACAGAGCTTAGTTGCATTAATTACCATCCTCCAGTGTTTGACAGGAAACCATGTCTGTATCGTAGCCATCTCCCATTGCATTATAGGCACGCACTCGCATCTCATAATCACAGTAGGGGTACAGGTTTGTCAGCTCGGCTTGAGGAGTCTTTACATCCAAGATATTGGCATCTTTCTCTGGGTCACCATAGATCCAATACTTTACCTAAAACCATTACATCAGGAGCCACAGTTACAAAATTTCAGAACAAACTGCAAAATATACGTAAAAGAAAGCACATAATGGTAAAGTAGATGTACCTTGTATCCCATTGGGTTACCAGGTGGTGGATCCCAGTTCAGTCGGATGTTTCTGGGGCCAGATGCTTTAGCCTTTAGATTTTCTGGGGCGAGAAGGTGACCGCCAGGCGATGTGGCTTTCTGGTTTATGTAGCCCATTTGTGGCATCTGAGCTATTTCTGGAGATCTTAGAACTTCATAAAGTAAATAAATATTCAAAAGATTAAAAGCAGGCATCAAAAACATCCAGTATTTCAGCAAAGGTAAGAATTTAGATGGTTACCAGACAGTACCAGTACCTAAAAATAGAAACTAAACTCAACTTTTAAATATGTCTCACCTCCTTCTGTAATATTGACAAGGGTAGTCTTCCGTTCTCCAACCATAGCATTAGTACTGGGGTCAAACAGCTCCAGCTGTATGGTCTCTGGTTGGATTGGACCAGGGTGTACTCTTGGGTCAATCACAATGTTCTTTTCCATTTCTCCAGGACCAAACATCAGGGGGCCAGAAAGGTCAAAGCGCTGAGCTTTCTTAGTGCGCCATTTCACTGTAGCAGGACTGTCTAGGTTGCGAGTGCGGACCACAGGGATGGTGTAGGTTGGATCTGATGTGCTGAAGTTCTGGTTGCCTTTCTTGAACATCATCATACTTGGTTCTAGATTTAAAAAGATTATACAGTGATCTGGTGCAAATTTCCAGTTATTCAAGACATAGTAATCAAAAAGGAACTGAGCTTTTCTTGTTTATGTGAGATTTGTTTTCTATGTGAGGAGCTTTCTCAATTCTAAGTAAAAAGTGCAAATTTCTTCCATTTGTTTGAGCTGAACTTACATGAAAATTACTCTCCCTCCCTCCTTTATAATAATAATAATAATAATAATAATAATAATAATAATAATAATGTGTTATGTATTGTCATCATTGTATGTTTCCATACAATATCAAAACTGTCTCTGCTTTTAACCCATCCACCACCAGGTGGAGCAGTTGGCAGCTGTGGAAAGTGCCTGGGGAGCAACTAGGGATAAGATGTCCTGCTCAGAGACACCACGAGATGTGCAATGATCAGGGACAGAACCCAGGATCTTCGGGTCCTGAGTCGGCTGCCCTGCCCCTACTTTCTAAGGGCTGTTAGAATCTTTGTTGACCAAATCCACATGTAATATGTTTTGGTTACATGCATGAAGGTGCAAATCCAATATGTACCTATCTGCACCAGGCTAACAAATACCCTAATGATCCTTAGAAAGGAGGGGAGGGAGAGTGATTTGCATGTGAGTTCAACATACATAAACAGAGAAACTCACTACAGTTTAAAAGCTTGAAACTCTACAATTATAAGAGTAAATTTCAGTTATTTTCTTTTCTAAAAATATTTTACTAAACCTGGCACAGTTTCTAGAAAGGCCTTCATCTACATGAAAACACAGAAAACTAACCAAAAACCTTTTTAAGCTATACCAGGTTTATACGTGATGCTGTGAAACTTACACTAAAACACACCAAAAACAGGAAACAAGGCATGGAGCATGCACATAAAGCTTACACATTAGATACAAGCTACCAGTTTTCATGTGGACGCAAGACTGAGATGACAAAAGACTTTTGAATATTCACAAAATGCTATTCGCTCAAGAACAGCCCAGGTGAAACATCTTCAAAAACAAATGAGAAGTCCACTCACTTTGTTAGAAAATTTTTAGCAAAATTTAACTTCTGTATTTGTTCACCTGGTAGGTCTGTGATGGTGACAGTGGTTCTTGGGTAGCGTCCCAGTTTGGCACCTTGCCGTGGGTTACTGAGATCCATGACAAACTGCTTGACCTGTTTGTCTTCTAACAAGCTGTCTTTTTCACTCAGCTCCAGAAGACGAACAGGCACCACCTTCTGAGTCTCACCAGGACCATAGGACAGATCTCCTTCTACATTCACATAATCCTGAAATTCATAAAAGAAGATTTAAAAAATAAATTTTAATATTGTAATGGCCATAACAAACATGTTAGAAGTAATTCCAAGACACTTTGAGTTATGCAAGTAGATTGTAACACCACCCAGCTCACCTTCTTATCTTTGGCTGTGAGATCTCGTGTACGGTAGGTGACCTGTGTGCGTCCATCCTCAATGATTTCTCTACTGATTGGAATGTTGGCGACTCCATCCTGCCGGCTGTACGTGTAATTTGGCTGGAGGAATGAGAAGACGCTGGTGGCTGAGAAAATTGATGGGGAGGGAACCAGACCAGTTAGTACTGTCACAGAATACAAAGTAATATTTATCAAAGTCTTGTTTTGTGTTATTTAAATGATCTTTTTTTAACAACTGAACATTAGATTTTCCGTTGCAAACCAATATGATGAGAAGATTCTCACCATGCTCTTTGATGATGGTGATGTTGACAAAACGTTTTCCGATCTCCGCGATGCCCAGTGGTACATCCCTGGCCTCCACTTGCAGCTGTTTTTTGTCATCATCTTCATCCTTGACAAAAAGTGGTACATGAACATCTAGTGACTCCACATCCTCTTGGAACTCCACTGCCCCGGCAGCCTCTGCAAAAGAAAAAAAAAACCCTGTATCTTTATAGAAGCAGAAATGAGAAAACACTGGTATTTTGTTTTCTAAGATTGATCAGCACCTCAAATCAGATATACTCTGAAAGGTTCTGTTAAGAGGTTCTGGGACACTTGCCAGCCATTTGTATCGTATGTTCAAAATATGTCGATGACTGTTTAACATGTTCATGTCTGTGTAGGGATTGGTCTGTTTCATGGATTTAGCCCCATCTTGTGTTGCGTTTTTTGTCGTATGTCCTTCTTCTCAGTTTCTGTTTTTCTATAGGGTTTGTGTTTTCCTAGTGTATGCTTCCATCTAGTGTTGTGTGTCTGTTCCTGCACTCCCTGGCTTCCTGATTTGTCATTTTCCCTGATGTGGTTCAGCTGTGTGTCCTCACAGGTGTTTTGTCTCATTTATCACTGTATATAAGTCTGTGTCTCTGTGTTAGTCCTTCGTCCTGGCATTGCTTCCTGTCACCTTGGTTCTCTGCGTTTCCCACAGATTATGTAAGTTTGCTGCCCCCGTCAGCTGTTGTTTTGTTATTATTAATAAATTATTTTAGTCATCTTCTGAGTCCTGGATTGTCTGCCTGCACCCCTGGGTGTACCCCTCACCAACCACCATTACGACAGTCTGTGGGTTTCTTGAAGCAGGCTGACCCTGAGAGTTTAATTAAAATCCATCCAATAGCTCCTGAGATATATGGCTCAATGTAGACATGCACACACACCTAAGTAAGTACATTTTAGCCTGTCAGCAAACAGTCTTTCACCTCTGTCTGAAGCGACGGTGTAGTAGCCCGGCACCACTTTGAGGTCATGGAAGTTTCCAGACTGAATGGTCTTTTCAGTGAGTTTGATTATATCTTGGTAGGAGCTCCTGGGAGCAGGCAACACTGTGTCCATGATGGTGTGGTCCTGTCTGAGGGGTACAAGAAGGTCGGAAATGTTAGATGTGCACAAATTACAGGTCCTTAAAGAGATTAAACTCTATTGCTGACTTTAAATGTTACCTTTTTCCTGCATTTTTTTGCAGTCTGTAAAAGAAAAAGGATACATGTCAATTTGAGGTCAAACGGATTATTTTTTCAGAGGTAAAGATGGATGTTACCTGAATGAGGTCTGCTGCACTTTCTGCGCCCCAGGAATTTGCTTGAACACCTCGTTTAACTGGATAGAAGAACAAAAAAAAAAAAACCTTGGTGATACAGTAACTGTTGGTAGACGTACATAATCCCACCCAAATATGAAACCACGCTCACATTTTCATTCACTTCCATGCGAAGCTGCTCGGCATCTCTTGATTCTGGGCGAGTCAAGTTCTCAGAAAACAGCCTATTGAGTCGGAGGGAGACCGGGAACTGGACTGCAGAGGCCATGAAAGAGGAAGTGTGGAGAATGGTTGTAGCCTACACTTTTAAATGACAATATTGAAAGAGTCTGCTTTTCAAACAATCCTGGACTCACTCAGCTCATTTGGGTTGGGTTTAATTAGAGCCTGGGGGTGATTGGGGGGGCGGTGAACATTATCGGTGACTTTCCAGCGAACTACGTCCGTTCCTTTAGGTGGGCCGGTCCTCACCATTGGTGTGTCCAAATGGTCTGAGGTGAGCAGAGACTGACGAAGCAAATATTCATCTTCCTTAAAGCCAACCATGCGACCTGGAAAGATAAGATGACACAAAGAGACTCATATTCTTCATGATTCCACTTGACATGGTGGGGGATTTGAAGGAGTACTGGCAGACATCTTACCTCTCCCACAGCAAGGTAGCAGGGCGAGGCAGCTCTGCATCAAAGAACATAAAAAAGTCTTTAATTTAAGCATGACTTAGAAAGTGTAGATTTTTCTGGGTCCAAATGTGTTTTACCTGCCAACAGGCTTTGCAGCAGGCACAGTACTTCCAGCAGCAAAGCAACAGGAGCGCCAACAGCAGCAGGAGGAAGAGGAAGAGTGGCAGCAACCAAAGAAGACCGGCACCTGGACAATCTGACAGGCCAATGCACAAAGTTGACCAAGTTAGCGATGCAACAATCTTACAAAGCAGTCACTCTGAAATTGTACCTTAGATATGGGTCCTGATAGAGCTGTTCTGATGTCATTGCACTGGTTTTAGTGTTTAATTTCTCCAGGATTTAAGACATTTTAGCATATCACTGTGTTCCTCCACAGCAAACAAAATGTTATAAGTATTTCTGCCTAATTGGGAAAAGGGCTATACAAAACTAAAACATTTCTCAGAGAACCCAGTTGCTGCCAGTGACTCATTAGGGTCACAATAGGAACCATACCTCTGTGTTTCAATCCCTGACAACACTCAATAAAATAAGGCACAAAAAAAGTGTGGTAACTTAGACTCTCTTAAACTGAAATGGGAAACAGACTTGGAGGAATCCATATCAAACTCAGTCTGGCAAAAGATCATTCAGAACATTTATTCATCCTCAAGCTGTCTGAGACACTGTAATCCAAGGTGGTGCACCGGCTGCACTGGTCCAAAGACAAGCCGTCCAAGATCAAAGCCAACCTGGATCCTGCATGTAACTGTTGTAAGCAAACTCCAGCTACACTCTTACATACATTCTGGACTTGTCCAAAACTGCAGATCTATTGGCAATCTATTTTTGATACTTTCTCTGGGATGTGGAAAAACTGTGCACCCATCACCATTCATGTCATTGTTTGGGGTGGCCCCTGTGGATACATCCTTCAGCAAGTGCAAGAGGAATATGATTGCTTTTGGCTCTCTTCTAGCCAAGAGACTTATTTTATGCAGATGCAAGGATCTGCATCCCATAGCATATGAACACTGAGCAAGAGATCATGTTCATTTGGAAAAGATTAAATACAATGTGAGGGGATCTGTAGAACATTTTTGGGACACTTGGCAGCCATTTGTATCGTATGTTCAAAATATGTCGACTGTTTAACATGTTCATGTCTGTGCGGCTGATCCAGTGTGGGAGGGGATTATGTTATTTTGTTGCAAGTTTGTTGCAAGTTTTCTTTTCTTATGTTTGTGTATGTACTAAAAAAAGAAAATTTCAATTAAAAAAACAGATAAAAATAAACAAAGTGTGGTAAAAATTAGACTTCAAAAACAAATAGACACTGCGCAAAAACCACAAGTTGTATTTTAAATATTTCTGTACTGTGGCAGAAAAATCTAAAAATAAAATCATGTTTTCACAGTCTTCAAAGTTCATGCTCAATAATCCAGGTAAAACATCCAACAAAAATAAGTCCAGAGGACCTGATTTATCTTTGTTGGATGTTCTCACAGTGTTTCATTAAGAAGATATGGCAAATTAAAAAGACCCATCATCACGTCCAGTTTTGAGGAGAGTATTGAGCTCAGATGCGATGGGAGTCAACGGAAGGTTGGATGTTCTCGCTGTGTACTCTGAGAGGGTTTGGGAAAAAACCACAAGTGCTTTAGCAGAGAGATACACACTAGATGAAAAAGACAAAATGTCCAGGTGTTGATGTATAAATTATTTAAGAAGTGTCAAGATTTTTGAAATAGGAAGAAATTTGTTAGCGCAGATATTGTAAAGTTTAGACAGCTCATAATTCCACTCAAAGTTGAACATTCTCTGGTAAAATTTGCAGCATTTATAAAACCTTAACTGTGATTGTGTTAAAACAGTTAAAGATACCAAAATACTAGTTCAGTCCCGTAAAGTCCAACTTTCTGTGACGCGTTTAAACTTTGATGTTCGTAAAGTATGTTTAAACTGCAGAGTTCTACAAAGGGCAGGGTTTTCTCTCTTCTTATGCCAGTGTCCTGTTGTGACGTGAAGGAAATCTCTTGCAGTCTTTTTTTCCCTTCACATTTATTCTCCATCATTGTCTTCATCAGCTGTCTTCATTAGTCATTAGCATATTTACTGTGCAAAAGTTCAACATGTAGACTAAAACCCTAAATACTGACAAAATGTTGTACATTTGCATATCAGACAAAGAGTTTATTGTAAACTTTGTAGTTCCAGTCCAGCGTGCTCACCTTTCTTTTCGAGCACCTCGACTATCAGCTTGTTCACTGTGGGATCTTCACTGGGTTCGACCGTGTATTGGTACGTACAGTCATCATCCTCGTCCCGAAAACTGCAAGAGTCGAGCACTTTCTCCCCTAAAATCCACAAACACGAAAACATAAACCACCGTTAGACTTTTCAGACAATTTTGCTGCACTCTTCATCAAAGTATAAATATAATTTTGAAAGAGTGTTGAGTTGAAGACATTCAGCTCTAGTTTTGTGCTTACGTTCTTTCAGCTCGTCCACCTTTATAATTGTGAATGGGCACTTATCACATTCAGCTTTCTCCTTCTTCTCCCCTGTCTTCCACGCCTGACACTGAACGCAGCTCCTCGTTCCCTCACACACACCTAGCTGAAACTAAATAGGACAGACACACACCACTAAGGACAGAAATCTAAAACAGCAACATTAAGATGTATATTTCTTAGCCTTGTTTCTCCTGTTCCGCATGCCTCTTGATGTTCTGTAAACCAATAGATATGTCCACACACCTGGAAGTTTGGCTCACAGTTTTCTGACATCTCGATACCAGAGTTTGGACACTCGCAGCGGCCACACTTGCACTCACCCCGCCCACCACACACGAGCTGGCACACATAAAAACACAGTTAGGCATCGTCGATAAAAGCTTTACGTTTGAAACTTGTTCACTCCGTTTACCCCTTTGCTGTCCAGGCAGGTCTGATTGCTTTTGGGACACTCGCAGGCGGGCCCCTCCCAGCCATCTGCACATGCACACTGACCCATAACACAAGAGCCGCGGTCTGAGGGGAAAAGGTACGATGTTTAAGGCTCATTCTGGAGGGAACTAAGGCTAATACACAGTTGTAGTCCGACCTTTAAATCCACTCAGCATGAATACCAAAGTCCATGCTCAATAATCCAGGTATAAAATCCAACAACGTTCCGTCAGGTGATTTGGACGGTTTCTTTATTTTTGTGCTGAGATGTTTCACCCTCCATCCGAAGGGCTTCATCAGTCTGAGGAAACACCAAACAAAACTGATTCTCCACCAACAGCTTGAGAAAAAAGTAGAAAAAAAAACAGTTATGATGGTCCTAAGATGGCCTCTGGGGCACACCCTCTCCTCTGGTGCTCGCCCTCTCCTTCGTCGACAGTTATGTCAAACTGGTTCAAAACACCAAAGTCTATGCTCAATAATCCAGGTATAAAATCCTGGAACAGATTAGGCTGTTGGTGGAGACTCAGTGTTGTTTGGATGGAGGGCGAAACGTCTCAGCACAAAAAAAGAACAAAAAAAAAAAAAGTCCAGATGACCTGACTGAACATTGTTGGATGGACATGAATGTTGTGTTAATTTGGGGCTTTTAATCGTTCTTTATCTAGGGTAGAAAGATTAAACACCAAACAACTTTAAGGATATTTTAAAACAAGAATTGGGTGCACAAGTTTGAATTTATTGGGGATTTTCTCTTCTTCACAAAATGACTTGACAAGGCCAAGGCCTTTTGAAGAAGCTCCTTGTCTTTTGGAAAAAAGTTTCATGATTGGCCAAAACCAATGTTGGGGTGTTTGGTTTGTTTCAAGGAGTCAAGGTGAGGCTTTTACACATACAGTTAAATTACTTTACCAGCCCTCAAGCATGGTGGTGGTAGTATGATGTTGTGGCACAACATGGATAGAACAATGAAAGAAGACCTTCAAATTCTTCAACTTAACCTCAACTCATCAGCTACGATGAAAACTTGGACACAACTGGGTGTTCTAACAGAACGACAATCCTAAACTGGATCCACTGCATCCAGTCTGTTTCTGATTAGATCAAACTGGTTAACGTTTGGGTTCTGGAATGGTCTTCTCAAAATCCCAACCTCATCCTTATCAAATATTTGTGGATTTTGTTTAAAAGTTGGGTTTGCTTCAGGTAATGGAGCAGTTTAAGTTGACTCTACTGTACTGGTTTGTTCAAGACGAGTGGTCAAAATTCAGAATGAAACCAGAAGCTGGAATGATTCAGAAAGCCTGCTAACAAACATTTGACCAACTATTAGCAAATATGGTACATAAAATACTTAAGCCTGTGTGCATCCTATTATATGTATTCTTCTTGTAAGAGCCTCTGTTATCTCTTCTTCCATGACTGTACCTATAAACATTGTTTACAACTGTCACAATATGTCGTACCGTTGCAGAGGAAGCCAGCAAATCTTTGACACTGGGTCTTGTCATACTGACAGTAGGGTCCTTCGAACTGATCCGGGTTGTAGCACACGCAGGTGCCGCATGCCAGGCAGTCTCCACGGCCCGAACAAGGTTCCGTCATGCCAGGACCAATGCACTGGTTTGAGTGCAGAGCTGAAGCACTCGCTGAGCAGTTACAAAAATTTCCCAGCCTGAGGGAGACATCAGCACAAAACGCACATAAACAACTTTACTACAGTCCGACTGACAGGTTTTTAATCTTTCCTTAAAGTTAATCGTTTATATTCTCACCAGCCGTCATCGCACTGACATCTCCCACACACCAAGTTTCCATGGCCGTGGCATCTGTCCGCTTTCGGGATAGAAGTCTGGAGGAGACATAACATAACGAAATGTCCATGAGTAATCTTATATAAAACTTATTTGTGCTTCAGGTTTAATTTCTTTGACTGACCTTTTCACAATCGCAGGTTGGACACAGAACGGTGGCCTTCACGTTGACAGCAGTGGTGAAAGTTGTCGGTTTGACTCTGATCGTGCCATCCTTGTCATCGGGGTTCAGGCCGCAGACAAGCTCATCGTTTATCGTTCGCTGGGCTTTGAGCCTCATCTTAAACTTTCCCTGGAGAGCACACACACACACACACAGGTTTGTTTTGCTATCTTTGTGGGGCCTT